TTTCTTTCGACTTCTCGTTTCTTTCGACTCCTTGTTTCTATTGGTTCTTTGTTTCTTTCACTCTTTATTTTTTTTAACTTCTTATTTCTTTTAGCTTCTTGTTTCTTTCGACTCCTTGTTTCTATCAGCTCCTCGTTTCTTTCAGCTCCTCATTTCTTTTGACTCCCTGTTTCTTTTGGCTTCTCGTTTCTTTCAGCTTCTTATTATTTTCGGTATCCATGATTAGATCTTCGAAATAGACTTTTGGTTTCGCTTTCTGGCATTCTTTCTTATAAATATTCTTGTTTTTTTTTTTTCAGTATATAATTAACTTACCTCATTCTTCTTTTTCTTTTAGGTTCTAGCTTCTTTATTTTTTTCGATATCCATGATTAGATTTTTGAAATGGACTTTTGGTTTCGCTTCCCAGCGTTCTTTTTTTTTTTTTATTATATAATAACTTATTAACTTGCTGCTTCTTTTTCTTTTAGATTCTAGCTTTCTTTCTCATTATTTTCAGTGTCCATAGTTAGATCTTCGAAATAGACTTTCAGTTTCATTTTCTAGCATTCTTTCTTATAAGTATTCTTGTTTTTTTTTCAATATATAATTAACTTACTAACCTTATTCTTCTTTTTCTTTTAGTTTCTAGCTTTCTTGTTTCTTTTGGTGTCCATAGTTAGATTTTCAAAATAGACTTTTGGTTTTACTTTCTGGCGTTCTTTCTTATAAGTATTCTTGTTTTTTTTTTTCAGTATATAATTAACTTACTAACCTCATTCTTCTTTTTCTTTTAGATTTTAGCTTTCTCGTGTCTATGGTTAGATCTTTGAAATAGACTTTTAGTTTCACTTCTCAACGTTCTTTCTTTTTTTTTATTATATAATAACTTACTAACTTGCTGCTTTCTTTTCTTTTAGATTCTAGTTTCTTTTCTCATTATTTTTAGCATCCATGGTTAAATCTTCAAAATGGACTTTCGGTTTTGCTTTCTAGCATTCTTTCTTATAAGTATTCTTGTTTTTTTT